CCCAGTGGAAACACAAGATCCCCAGTGGAAACACAAGGTCCCCAGTGGAAACACAAGATCCCAGTGGAAACACAAGGTCCCCAGGGAAAACACAAAGGGCCCCAGTGGAAACACAAGGTTCCCAGTGGAAACACAAGGTCCCCAGTGGAAACACAAGGTCCCCAGTGGAAACACAAGGTCCCCAGTGGAAACACAAGGTCCCCAGTGGAAACACAAGGTCCCAGTGGAAAACACAAGGTCCCCAGTGGAAACACAAGGTCCCCAGTGGAAACACAAGGTCCCCAGTGGAAACACAAGGTCCCCAGTGGAAACACAAGGTCCCCAGTGGAAACACAAGGTCCCCAGTGGAAACACAAGGTCCCCAGTGGAAAACAAGGTCCCAGTGGAAACACAAGATCCCCAGTGGAAGCACAAGGTCCCCAGTGGAAACACAAGGTCCCCAGTGGAAACACAAGGTCCCCAGTTGAAACACAAGGTCCCCAGTGGAAACACAAGATCCCCAGTGGAAACACAAGGTCCCCAGTGGAAACACAAGATCCCCAGTGGAAACACAAGGTCCCCAGTGGAAACACAAGGTCCCCAGTGGAAACACAAGGTTCCCAGTGGAAACACAAGGTCCCCAGTGGAATACAAGGTCCCCAGTGGAAACACAAGGTCCCCAGTGGAAACACAAGGTCCCCAGTGGAAACACAAGGTCCCCAGTGGAAACACAAGGTCCTCAGTGGAAACACAAGGTCCCCAGTGGAAACACAAGGTCCCCAATGGAAACACAAGGTCCCCAGTGGAAACACAAGGTCCCCAGTGGAAACACAAGGTCCCCAGTGGAAACACAAGGTCCCCAGTGGGAAACACAAGGTCCCCAGTGGAAACACAAGGTCCCCAGTGGAAACAAAAGGTCCCCAGTGGAAACACCAAGGTCCCCAGTGGAAACACAAGGTCCCCAGTTTGGGAAAAACAAGGTCCCCAGTGGAAACACAAGGTCCCCAGTGGAAACACAAGGTCCCCAGTGGAAACACAAGGGCCTCAGTGGAAACACAAGGTCCCCAGTGGAAAACCAAGGTCCCAGTGGAAACACAAGGTCCCCAGTGGAAACACAAGGTCCCCAGTGGAAACACAAGGTCCCCAGTGGAAACACAAGGTCCCCAGTGGAAACACAAGGTCCCCAGTGGAAAAAACAAGGTCCCCTGTGGAAACACAAGGTCCCCAGTGGAAAACACAAGATCCCAGTGGAAGCACAAGGTCCCCAGTGGAAAACAAGGTCCCAGTGGAAACACAAGGTCCCCAGTGGAAACACAAGGTCCCCAGTTGAAATACAAGGTCCCCAGTGGAAACACAAGATCCCCAGTGGAAACACAAGGTCCCCAGTGGAAACACAAGATCCCCAGTGGAAACACAAGGTCCCCAGTGGAAACACAAGGTCCCCAGTGGAAACACAAGGTTCCCAGTGGAAACACAAGGTCCCCAGTGGAAACACAAGGTCCCCAGTGGAAACACAAGGTCCCCAGTGGAAACACAAGGTCCCCAGTGGAAAAACAAGGTCCCAGTGGAAACACAAGGTCCCCAGTGGAAACACAAGGTCCCCAGTAGAAACACAAGGTCCCAGTGGAAACACAAGGTCCCCAGTGGAAACACAAGGTCCCCAGTGGAAACACAAGGACCACAGTGGAAACACAAGGTCCCCATTGGAAACACAAGGACGCCTGTGGAAACACAAGGACCCCAGTGGAAACACAAGGTCCCCAGTGGAAACACAAGGACCCCAGTGGAAACACAAGGTCCCCAGTGGAAACACAAGGCCCCCAGTGGAAACACAAGGTCCCCAGTGGAAATACAAGGTCCCCAGTGGAAACACAAGGTCCCCAGTGGAAACACAAGGTCCCCAGTGGAAACACAAGGTCCTCAGGGGAAACACAAGGTCCCCAGTAGAAACACAAGGACCACAGTGGGAAAAAAACAAGGACCCCAGTGGAAACACAAGGTCCCAGTGGAAACACAAGGTCCCCAGTGGAAACACAAGGACCCCAGTGGAAACACAAGGACCCCAGTGGAAACACAAGGTCCCCAGTGGAAACACAAGGTCCCCAGTGGAAACACAAGATCCCCAGTGGAAACACAAGGTCCCCAGTGGAAACACAAGGTCCCCAGTGGAAACACAAGGTCCCCAGTGGAAACACAAGGTCCCCAGTGGAAACACAAGGTCCCCAGTGGAAACACAAGGTCCCCAGTTTGGAAACACAGGTCCCCAGTGGAAAACATAATGTCCCCAGTGGAAACACAAGGTCCCCAGTGGAAACACAAGAACCACAGTGGGAACACAAGGTCCTCAGTGGAAACACAAGGTCCCCAGTGGAAACACAAGGTCCCCAGTGGAAACACAAGGCCCACAGTGTAAACACAAGGTCCTCAGTGGAAACACAAATACCACAGTGGAAACACAAGGTCCCCAGTGGAAACACAAGGCCCACAGTGTAAACACAAGGTCCCCAGTGGAAACACAAGGCCCACAGTGTAAACACAAGGTCCCCAGTGGAAACACAAGGTCCCCAGTGGAAATACAAGGCCCACAGTGGAAACACAAGGTCCTCAGTGGAAACACAAATACCACAGTGGAAACACAAGGTCCCCAGTGGAAACACAAGGTCACCTGTGGAAACACAAGGACCACAGTGGAAACACAAGGTCCCCAGTGGAAACACAAGGACCACAGTGGAAACACAAGGTCCCCAGTGGAAACACAAGGACCACAGTGGAAACACAAGGTCCTCAGGGGAAACACAAGAACCTCAGTGGAAACACAAGGTCCTCAGTGGAAACACAAGGACCACAGTTGAAACACAAGGACCCCAGTGGAAACACAAGGTCCCCAGTGGAAACACAAGGTCCCCAGTGGAAACACAAGGTCCCCAGTGGAAACACAAGGTCCCCAGTGGAAACACAAGGACCACAGTGGGAACATAAGGTCCTCAGTGGAAACACAAGGTCCCCAGTGGAAACACAAGGCCCACAGTGGAAACACAAGGTCCTCAGTGGAAACACAAATACCACAGTGGAACCACAAGGTCCCCAGTGGAAACACAAGGTCACCTGTGGAAACACAAGGACCACAGTGGAAACTCAAGGTCTCCAGGGAAACACATGGACCACAGTGGAAACACAAGGTCCCCAGTGGAAACAGAGGACCACAGTGGAAACACAAGGTCCTCAGGGGAAACACAAGGACCTAAGTGGAAACACAAGGTCCCCAGTGGAAACACAAGGACCACAGTGGAAACACAAGGACCCCAGTAGAAACACAAGGTCCCCAGTGGAAACACAAGGTCCCCAGTGGAAACTCAAGGTCCCCAGTGGAAACACAAGGTCCCCAGTGGAAACACAAGGACCCCAGTGGAAGCACAAGGTCCTCAGTGGAAACACAACGACCCCAGTGGAAACACAAGGACCCCAGTGGAAACACAAGGTCCCCAGTGGAAACACAAGGTCCTCAGTGAAAACACAAGGTCCCCAGTGGAAACACAAGGACTACAGTGGAAACACAAGGTCCTCAGTGGAAACACAAGGACCCCAGTGAAAACACAAGGTCCCCAGTAGAAACACAAGGACTACAGTGGAAACACAAGGTCCTCAGTGGAAACACAAGGTCCCCAGTGGAAACACAAGGCCCACAGTGGAAACACAAGGTCCCCAGTGGAAACACAAGGACCACATTGGAAACACAAGGTCCTCAGTGGAAACACAAGGACCACATTGGAAACACAAGGCCCTCAGTGGAAACACAAGGCCCACAGTGGAAACACAAGGTCCCCAGTGGAAACACAAGGACCACATTGGAAACACAAGGCCCAGAATGGAAACACAAGGACCACATTGGAAACACAAGGCCCACAGTGGAAACACAAGGCCCACAGTGGAAACACAAGGTCCCCAGTGGAAACACAAGGTCCCCAGTGGAAACACAAGATACTCAGAGGAAACACAAGGACTACAGTGGAAACACAAGGTCCTCAGTGGAAACACAAGGTCCCCAGTGGAAACACAAGGCCCACAGTGGAAACACAAGGTACCCAGTGGAAACACAAGGACCTTAGTGGAAACACAAGTTCCCCAGTGGAAACACAAGGTACCCAGTGGAAACACAAGGACCACAATGGAAACACAAGGTCCCCAGTGGAAACACAAAGACCCCAGTGGAAACACAAGGACCACAGTGGAAACACAAGGTCCTCAGGGGAAACACAAGGACCCCAGTGGAAACACAAGGACCTCACTGGAAACACAAGGACCCAATGGAAACACAAGAACCCCAAAAGAAACACAAGGACCTCAATGGAAATACAAGGACCTCAATAGAAACATAAAGACCCCAATGGAAACACAAGGACCCAATGGAAACACAAGGACCCAATGGAAACACAAGGACCCCATGGAAACACAAAGACCCCAATGGAAACACAAGGACCTCAATAGAAACACAAGGACCCAATGGAAACACAAGGACTTCAATGGAAACACAAGGACCTCAATAGAAACACAAGGACCCAATGGAAACACAAGGACTTCAATGGAAACACAAGGACCCAATGGAAACACAAGGACCAATGGAAACACAAGGATCTCAATGGAAACACAAGGACCCCAATGGAAACACAAGGACAGAATGGAAACACAAGGATCCATTGGAAACACAAGGACCTCAGTGGAAACACAAGGACCCAATGGAAACACAAGGACCTAATGGAAACACAAGGATCAAGTGGAAACACAAGGACCCAATGGAAACACAAGGATCAAGTGGAAACACAAGGACCCAATGGAAACACAAGGATCAAGTGGAAACACAAGGACCCAATGGAAACACAAGGTTTAAAAGTGGAAACACAAGGACCCAATGGAAAACACAAGGACCCAATGGAAACACAAGGACCCAATGGAAACACAAGGACCACATGGAAATACAAGGACCACATGAAAACACAAGGAATCAATAGAAACACAAGAACCCAATGGAAACACAAGGACAACATGGAAACATAAGGACCCAATGGAAACACAAGGACCACATGGAAATACAAGGACGCAATGGAAACACAAGGACCATGTGGAAACACAAGGACCACATGGAAACACAAGGACCACATGGAAACACAAGGACCCAATGGAAACACAAGGACCACATGGAAACACAAGGACCACATGGAAATATAAGGACCCAATGGAAACACAAGGACCCAATGGAAACACAAGGACCAAAGTGGAAACACAAGGACCCAATGGAAACACAAGGAGCACAGTGGAAACACAAGGAGCACAATGGAAACACAAGGAGCACATGGAAGCATAAAGGTTTCATTGGAAGTAAGTCATTTTGACTTTTTTGGGTTATCCCAGGTCATTTATACTATGTAGGGTAACTGTACTTATGTGTACCTGTTTCTAAACAAACTTATTTACTCATTTATAATTCAAATTATCTAGGATGAACCAAAAAGAATCAAAGTAACTTATTTCCATAAGTACACACAAGAAGCAGTTATTCAACATAAAATATATATTTAACACAATTAACTGTTCCCCATGTGTATAGTATGTAAGTAAAGAAGATAATTTATTACAAGATATAGATGATATTAGAGAGAACCATCAGAGTGTTGGCTTGGCTTGAGCAGCAGCAGCAGCAGCAGCAGCAGCAGCCGCCATTATCATCACCATCACCAACCACCTCGTCACTCTCACTCAGTTTTCTCGCTCTTTAGTGTTTTTTACATGGGAAATGGGTCACCACAGAAGGGCAAAGAAAGGGGAAAAAGAAATTTAAAAAAAACCCCCGGGGGAAAAAAAAAAAAAAAAAAAAGGGGGGGGAAAAAATTTTTATTGGAAAGTTTTTTTTTTTTTTGGGTTTTTTTTTTGGGAAATTTTTTTGTTTGTTTTTAAAAATTTTTATTTTTTTTTTAAATTTTTTGGGTAAAAAAAATTTAAAAAAATTTTTTTCTTAAAAAAGGGTTTTAAAAAAAATTTTTTTTTTTTTTTTAGTAAAAAAAAAATTTTTTTTTTAAAATTTTTTTTTGGTAGATTTTTTTTTGGGGGGGAGAAGGGCCCCATTTTTTTTTTAAAATTATTTTTTTTTTTTTCCCTTTTTTTTTATTTGGGGGGGAAAAGGGGGGGTGGGGGGGGTTGGAGGGTTATTATTCCCGGGGGGTGGGGGGGGGGGTTTTAGTTTGGTTAGGGAAGGGTCCCCCCCCTTAAAAATTAAAAATTTAAAATTATTTTTTTTTAAAATTTTTTTTTTTTTTTGGGGGGGGGGGGGTTTTTTTTTTTAAAAAATTTTTTTTTTTCGGGTTTTTTTTTTTTTTTTTGGGGTTTTATTAAAATTAATTGGTTTTTTTAAAAAATTTTTTTTTTTTTTATTTTTTAATTCGTAGTACAACAAAAAAACATTTTCCCCATATAATGGCTTAAAATTATGATTGTAAAAAATAAGGTTTTTTTTAATTTTAAAATTTTTTACATTATGTGGTCAAATTTATCATCTATGTAAGAAAATATAAAATTAACTTTTGTGGTAAACTGAACAATAAATATTTCCATTTAAACAGGGCTGCAAAAAAAATGGCCTTTTTTTTTTTTTTTTATTCAGTCAATAAGCTACTAAGCCAATTATTAAATTTTTGTGGTGCAGACCCTTGTGGGGTTTTGCACTTAGTTCTGGTTTAATATTAAAAAAAACTAACCTTTATTAATATAAACAATTTTAAAATTTAACCAAAATTTTCCCACTATAAAGAGGACTTTAAATTTGATTTCAGAAATTTTTGGCCTTTTACATTAATTCAAGCAGTTATTAACAAAAATGTAAAATTCTGAAGGGCCCTAGCATTTAAAAGGATTTTCCATAACTTAATAAAATTTTTTAAATAAAGTATATTTTTATAAATTTTTTTAAAGGGGCAGTATATTTTTTTAAATTTTCCCGATTTGTGGGGGATTTATCTGTTTTAAAAATTGTATTTTTGGGCACAGTGGGGGCCCATGCAAAACCCCCCTATGGTTTATAAATATTGTAATCGGATGAATCTTGGAGGCAGGTGGCCCAGTGGTTGACACTGGCCTGGGGTTTTACGACTCGCTTGCCGTAAGTTCAAACCCCAATCCATTCTGTGGTTCGTTTGCAATCACGTTATTACGATTTCTCGAACCATACCACAAGTCGGGCAGATGTAATGTACAATAAGTCTTCGACTTACAAATATGTTGAGAATCTCCTGTATTATGTGTATCATTATTGTGTATAATATCATTTTTATATATACACTCCAGGTCCCCAATGTGTTTGTAATTCGAGGACTTGCTGTGTCCATAACTCTGGTCAAACAATTACTACCAATAGTGATGCTGACATTTAATTATTTAATTTTATTTTTATTTGTACTGATCAAAATGTTTCTTTACAATTTTTGAAATTAAAAAATAATTCATGTTGAGTGCTAAACCCATGTGGGTCATTCAGCACAGTCTGCTGAACACGAGATAGATGTGCTTCCTCTTTGTACTGGCCTACAGTTTTTTGAATGCTTATCACTGTTCCATTTGTATTTATATTGGCAGTCATTAGAAATTTGGAACATAAGAAAGAAGGAACACTGGCCCATACTAGGCAGGTTAGGTCCAAGCTGGTCCACTGGCTGGTTAGGTCCAAGTCACGTCCACTCACTGTGTTTTAAATGAATGAAAATGGGATGCCATGAGCATGGTTCTCCTGTACGTACTTACAAAAAAGTAATAGAATTCAGTACGTATTTTGAACATCCTAACTACCTTTTTTTCAGCATAACGGCAAATAATCATAAGAAACCACTTACACTACTGCGTTATGAGAGATTTATGACAATACATTGACTTGACTTTCTCATTGCAGGATAAAATTAAGGAACGAGTGAACACTGAATTAAGTGGGCCACAGATGGACTTGCCTCCCCTTGATTTAGCTGAGAAGAAGTTCAACGCCAGTAGCCGTTTGTTCGTGGGTAATCTGCCTCGGGATTTACCATACGAGGAGCTGAAGGAAATATTTTCTCAGTATGGCGAGTTGGGACAAGTTTATTTCAACAAAGATGGAGCTTATGCCTTTATTAATTTTGTAAGTGCTAATATGTACTGTATTTGTGATCACCTGAGGCTCTTACCTCAACCCAAAGGAAAATTAAAACAGATTTTATTCAAATTATTGACATGATAATTTTTGGTACCAATATTGACATAGCGACCAAAGAATTTACATAATTATATCTTGTTCTCGGATTGAGGGATTTTGATTGCCATTATATTTGTTGATAATTTTACATAATAGCATTTATACGGTAAAAGTACAATAGAGAAAACCACGATCATTTCCAGCCATTTGCCCATCAGCATACTTGCTATTTTTCAGTTATCTCCAATATTTTTTAATTGAAATGCTCCTGTAATATTGCTATGAAGTTATTGGTAAATGAGTTCCTTGCTGGAGACATGAATTCTAAGCTGAACATCTCTGTACAGTATAATATAACTCATTTAACTGTTTAGTGAATTCATTTTGGGACTCTTGCACTCTAATCCCCTTGTGTCCTGAAGTTTCTGTATGGAGTTTGATCATAATAACTTAGTCTACTTTTGCTTCAGAATGTCAGTTCTTAATTAAGGTCAGAATGTTGAAGTTCACGTAAAGTTCTTTTGTTGTAGGAGCAGCTTCGTCGCCATCTAGCAATTTATCTGTGTCCTCTTAAGACCTGGTACCCCTTGAAATGTTCTTTGATGTTGATGGACAGTTTGGGCAGTGTAGATAAAGTAGACAGTAGTTTTGGCAGTGTAGATACAGTAGACAATAGTTTTGGCAGTGTAGATACAGTAGACAATAGTTTTGGCAGTGTAGATACAGTAGACAATAGTTTTGGCAGTGTAGATACAGTAGACAGCAATTTGTGAGTTCCTGAAAATTGAGGTTTGTCTAATTTAGTTCTAACAAAACTATAAAATTAGTCACATTTCCTTACCTAATTGTAATAAACTTAGGGGAAAATGCCACATCAATACAAAATGAGCAACACCAGTGATAAAGGTATTTATTAAAGTGAAAGCACAGAAAAATAATTACAGAATCGTTGAAGGTGGCAATCTCCAACTCTATTACCTGTCAACTATATTTTCTCTTAAAGGCCTACTATTTCTCACAGGTGTGATAATCCAGTAAAATGAAACATGCTCATCATTTATTCAATAACTGTCTTGTTGGAAGTGGAGACATCACAGTCCAGGTGGTTCTCCAAACTGCAGTATCCTCACTCCTGTATTGTCTGCCTCAAGGACTAAAGTCAGCTGACCCAACTTTGTCCTGAATCCCTCCATAAATGTTTCCTTGGTCACACTCCAGCAGCATGTTAATTTATAAAAACCACTAGTCTCCATTTACTCTGATCTAACATGCTTACATGTTCATCTTAAGATAATCCCTGCCCCTCTTTACACTCCAGATTAATACATCATCTTGGTCATCTTATGCTGCTTCATCCTGTAAATACCTAGACCACCTCTCATTCTCAGCCCTTTGAATTATTCCTTCTGGTAATCTTAGTCTTCTTCAGATATAACTTTTAAATGCTTGGCTGGGTTAGGAGATTGAAGATTGTTTTATGAAATTAGCTTAATGTATTGTTGAGGCATTAAGAAGTTTATATGTCACTATTCAGCAATTAATTCAATCAAGTTTATTTAGGATTACCGAGCTAATGCAGAGAAGGCCAAGAGAGAGATGCAAGGAAAGAATTGCCGCAATCGTCCGATGAAGATTAGATATGCTTCAATCTCGACTGGTGTAAGAGTCAAGAATCTAACACCGTGTGTGTCTAATGAATTGCTGGAGAAAGCCTTCAATGTGTTTGGTCAAGTAAGTTGCAATAATATCATAAGGTATTTAATGGTGGTATGTTTTGAATATATTTTTGTTATTCTCTGATCTAGAACGTATAAAGCTGGGTTCAAATTTGTAGTAAATTTCAGTTTAAATACTTGATTTTTGAAGGACTTGGGTGATCTGTGGGAGAACTTCTGAAATGTTGATGGAATTCTGCAATCTGTTTATATTTTGCTGCTTTTAGGCTTGTATTTACGTATTTCAATACATCAATCTTTTTTAGTTTTGATTTTTGATTGTAAATATTGAAAACAAAATATGCAGCATATATTTTGATAATGGGTCTAAAATTTATCATAATCTGCTTTGCATTCTAGGAATTTAATTCAGGGTTAGAGCATTGTTTGGGGGAAATTCTGGCATCACACCTTAGAAAATTATTTCTGTGGCTAAAAGCAACACTTCATAATTTAAATTTGTCTCCAAAAATCAACATTAATTAATGTTGCAAGATTGCTGTAGCAATTGAAATTTAAAAATATATGATGAAAAAATTACTGGAGACATCACCAGAGGCATAGCTATGATTCTTTGCATAAAGGACTACAATGGGGCTTAAATTTTTACAAGGGAAGGGAAATAAGAAAAGTTTCATTGTCCCTTTTAAAATGCACTACATTTACTTTATTACTAAGCATATTTTCTAAAGTAATTTGCTATTGTCATGTAACTATAACCAAAGGTAATGGTCAAATATAGTATATATTTTTATGACTTAAAGGCACAGTACTATAAAGCAAATCATGACAAGCCAATAGTTTCAAATGTGTGCTGAATGAAGTTTCATTCAGTCTAGCCTAAAGCTTATGAAAATAACATATTTCATTTTGTACAGCACTTGTGGGGCTTTAATAAAAAAGATGTGCCTTCTAAGTAACCCCATCAAGATGGAAGGTTGTTGCCTTGTTTAGATTTTTACCTAGTGTATCATAATGCAGTAAATTGTTTTCTAGTAATTTTCCAGGCATTTCTAAAGGGTCTATATAAAAACTGAGTTTACTTGAATCGCCTGATGGTGTACAGGTGATGTGCAGTCTAGTGGCTCCTATGTTGTTGATAGGCTTTAACCCTTTGACTGTCGGTGTCATATATATGCATCTTACGAGCCAGTGTTTTTGATGTATTAATACGCCAAAATTCTAGCAGCTTCAAATCAAGTGGGAGAAAGCTGGTAGGCCCATGTGAGAGAATGGGTCTGTGTGGTCAGTGTGTGCAGAATAAAAAAACAAAATCCTGCAGCAAGCAGTGCATAATGAGAAAAAAAAAACTCCGACCGCATTTTTGGATTAAAGTGCCCACTTTGAGGTGTATTTTCGTATAGTATTTATGGTTGTATTCTCATTTTCTTGATCTCATTTGATAGAATGGAATACATATTACAGAAATAAAGACTTTGATTGGTTTCACGATGAAGAGGACCTTGAAATTGAGCTCAAATGTTTGATTTTTCCCAAAGTTAAAGAGGTAAACAAATTTCATCATTCTAATACACAGTCACGAATGAGTTGACATTATTTATACAATTATTACAATAATGCAGTAGTCTACATAGCAGTAAATCTGTTTTTTGTGTGAATAAAAATTCAAAATAGAAAGCAAGAGTAACATGAGAGGGGCCTGGAGAAATGACTAATGAGCAGAGAAGATATTATTTTAGTGCCAGGAATGTCTGCATTGTTATTCTGGACCCTATTTTGAAATTGACATTTTTTTTAATTTGTGTGAAATTGGCCAAATTGCCAATTTCTGACCACTTTATTGGATAGTTGAAATTGGTAAATGGGCAGTTTTCTTGTACTCAGTTGATAGAACAAATGGAGTTATAAAACATTAGCTATGAGTTTGGTTGACTGGAACAATGGAATTGGCTGAAAATAGGGCTCAAAGTGGGCGAAATTGCCAATGTGTATATATATCGCTGAGATCGCTAACTTTGTGAGAGCATAATTCCGTAAGTTTTCCATCAGATTTTGTACTTTTGGTGTCATTACGATCAAGAAAAGATTCTCTTATTTTATAAGAAAAAGATTTTTTCGAATATTTTGAGACACACACTTCAGAATTGGGGTCTCGACAGTCAAAGGGTTAAGCCTCGTGGACCACTCAGTCCCTTCATTTCAAATACCAAGGTGTTAATATACCTTGTGTACATACAAGCTAGAAAAGAGTAATATTGTAAATGAAACCTTCAGTAAATTGAGAACAGCCAGTAATAAATCTTTAGCACCTAAGGAAAATAATTGTGCTCAAATGGTGTCACTTGCAGATATGAGAGGATAATTTTCAGCTGAAATGGAGTTTTCCAATATGTGCCTCAGATTTCTGTTTAATGCCTCATTACTCTTAATAACAAGGGCCAATCTCTCGTACACTGGTTTTAACCCTTAAACTGTCCAAACCTAGATCTACATTCACTCGCGTAGCTCTCCGAATGTAGATCTACGTTTTTTTTTACATTCTTTCTTATGGAGAAAATCAAGGTTGGAGCGCAATGCGTGCAAATGTAGATATACATTTGGACAGTTTAAGGGTTAATACCTGCATATCTGTTCATGATGAGGTTGGTTGCATGCCAGATTTCCACCTTGGGGTCTTGAGTTAATTTCACTATGTCACTTATTATTGATTTTCAGATTTTCATCCTGAGTGAGGTTTCAGCCTATTTTGAGTTTTAGTTAACAGAATACTCTTAATGGTTATCCAAGATAGGATACTAAAATCTCTGGGTCATCAGTGGGAAGCATCACATTATGGGTGTTTAAGCTGAAATACAGTAGGACCCCTGTATCCACGGATTTGGTATCCACCGTTTGTTATCTACCGTTTACTGTGGCCCAAAAATAACCCTTAATGTTGTTTAATAATGGCCCCAAAGTGCAAAAGTAGGGATGCTGGCATTTCTTCAGAGCCTAAGAGAAGCTGTGAAGTGCTTTCTATCAGTGAAAAGCTGGCAATTTAGAATTATTTTGCTTAATTTATCAATTAAACTTCATCATAGGTATGTATGTAAACAAAAAATGGCTTATATATAGGATTTGCTACTATTCATGATTTCCAGTATCCATGGTAGGTCTTGGAATGTATCCCCTGCAAATATGGGGGGGGGGGTGTACTGTACTTGTTTTCACACTTAAGATTACATTTTCACGTTTAGATATGTATCAAGCCAAATTCTCGCTTGGTTACTCAAGTTACCCTCTCAGTTCCTTGATGCTGGTGAGGGGGGGGGGGTCTTGGTCCAAAGAATTGAACTTGTCCTGTTCTTCATTTGATCAAATCTGATTTCCTCCTGTTTCCCAGGTGCTGTATGACCCTGTGGGTTTAGTGCTTCTCCCTGAATGATAGTTACTGTGTAGTTTTGTGATCCAGATATTAACCCTTTCGGGGTGGGTCCCGTAGTACTACGACTTTGAAGCACGGGTCAGTCCTGTTGTTCTATGACATGAGCTCAGCTCACTCAGATAAGCTGTGAGTGGTAAATTTGGGCCTAAATATGAGAGAGTGGTTCTATGTGGTAAGTGTGTACTACATAAAAAAAAATTCTGCAGCAAGAAGTGCATGATGGGGAAAAAGAAACTGCAAGTGTTTTTGGTTTAAAAGAGAAACTTTGTAGTACATTTTTGTATGGTTGTTATTGTCGTATTCTTGATTTCTAGGTCTCATTTCACATAATGAAGATATATTACAGAAATAGAGATGATTTTGATTGATTTCAGGACTGAAAGTAGCTTGAAATTGAACTCAAAGTAGCAAATGTTTGATTTCTGCCAATATTCCCGAGTACACAAGTTACATCACACGTCCAGTACGCATTCAACTGGTAGGTCTAATGTGTGTCCACAAATGCTGCGACATTATTTATGCAATTTTAATAATGCAATAGTCTTCATGACGGTAATTTTTTTATTTTTTGTGAATAAAAATTCCAAATTGGAAAGCAAGCATAATATAGGAGAGGCGTGAGGACTTGACTAATGAATAGAGGAAATGTTTTAGTATTAGGAATGTTTACACTGTTTATTCTGGACCTTATTTTGAAATTAGCAGTTTTTGAATCTTATGTGAAATTGGCCAAATTACCAATTTCTGATCACTTTATTGGTATTGGAAATAGGTAAATGAGCGGTTTCTTGTACTCACTCGATAGAATAGAAGGAATTCTAGTGAAATACATATGAGTTTGGTCTACTGGAATAAAGCAGTTGGATGAAAATGGGGCTATAAAGTGGATGAAATCACCGATGCATAAATATTGCTGAGACGGCTAAATTTGCGAGAGTGTAATTCCACAAGTTTTCCATGAAATTTCGTACTTTTGGGTTCATTACCTTTGGAAAAAGATTCTCTCATTTTATAAGATTTTTTTTTTTATTCTCTGACCCTGAGAGCAAGTTTCAGATGAGGGGTTCTGACCCTGAAAGGGTTAGGATTTCTGCTTGATCAGGCATGTGAAAAAGACAATGGGCTACAGGGTATCCGAGTGATTATGCCTATTACATGAAATCATAACACAATTGTAAGCACATCACTGAACAGGTAGGGTAGTGCGCTAACCACTCAGCCAGTTGGCTGTTATAAGATGGATGAATTATACTAATGCTTGTTGGTCGAGTGACTAATACACGGACCTGTGAGTTTTAGTACTTTTCCTACTGGGTGTTCAAGCCCCATCCGTTCTGTAATTTGATTATACCCTTCACTCTAATTACTTTTTTAAAGGAATTAAAAAAAAAAGCTTGGGGAACAATGAGCAACAAAATGAGGCATTAAAATGATATGGGAACACAAATTGAGGGTTACCAATTTAGTAGGTTGATAAATGGTAACCATCCAGAGTAGTGATCCTGTTGTCATGCTAGTGTGATGGTTTTGCACTCTGCCAGTACCAGGATTACAGGTCTTTGTTTATAATAAACATGTAAGATGTTGTACAGGTGACGTGCAGCCTAGTGATCCCATGGGTTGATAGTTTT